CCCAAGTATAAATTACTCTTAAAGTGGGAGCCATGTGGCTGTATGGGGGAAATTTCTATCTCATTTTGTTACCTAGAGGTCATTGCTGCTGCAGTCAAGTGAAAACATAGTGAGAGGTGAAAACTAGCTGCTGTTGGGCTATTTTGTCATCTCTCATGATGGATAGGTGCTTGTTATTTTTACAGTCTAAGAAGGGGGTCTTTCTGCATGCTTGCAGAGTGCCCAGCATATCTGGCTCTTGTCTTGTTTGAGATTTCTGTTTTAAATAAGGAAAATAGTATCAGATGTTTGTAATGTGTCAAATGTTTAGCATCAGAGCCTCCTCTGGTGGATGGGTATGTGCAGGGCACGTGCGAGGCAGGGCAGGTGGAAAGCAGTGTTGCACAGGAATGTCATGCTAAGATAAAACAGTTCAGTGTTTGAGGACTAGATAGTGTATGTTTTGGAAGAAACCTTTTCTGTAAGAAACACATGGTGACACATGTGCCTGTTGTAAAAATAGGCGGGTCTACAACTCAAGCAGTTGCATGATTTTGGGACCAAAACTGCACTTGTGCATTGGAGGCCCATGTAGTTCATGCGCATATGGAGATAACCAGTCCCTGGATGAATGAAATAAAAACCTCAGTGGGGTATGTGCTCATGAGAGCCTGTTCCCAAGCAAAGTCTTTGTAAAGATAGATACTCTGGATCCAGAGAGCATGAGACCAGGGAATCGCTGCAAGTCTCTAGCACGACATCGCTGCAAAGATGGACCATGTGCATGCCTCAATTCAAGACCTCTTCTCCAAGATTTCACCATCGGACTCCTGGCTGGGAAGATTTTTCCCCATCATGAGGTACCTTAGCAGTTGTTAGCATCTTCCTGCTCCTCCCAGTGAAGCTGCTGGAGCTGATGGGAGTTTGATTATGATTTAATCCAGGCTTTTGGGGGGGGGGAAAGAAAGTTTTGACAGTTCCATATATAGTCCTCTGACTCATAGATTTCATGTGTCAAACACTGAGGATGGGTTAAGTAGAGTTAAGTTCTGGATTTGTTATAAATAGGGATTAAGTAACATGAATGTATTACACTTGCATGAAAATATGGGCCTGATTCTCTTGCTTATCCCAATGACTTTCTTTGATGTCACAGGGATGCTCCCAGGTAAGTGAGCGCAGATCAGAACCAGCCCAGCTCCGCTGGGTCAGACCCCCCTACAGATGCCATTTTACTGGACTGGGTGAAATGGGGGAATCTGAAGGAACATTGCTGAAAGCAGTGTTTACGCTGCTGAAGGATTTACGCTGGCTGTGCAGATCAGAATTTGGCACTTAAAATAGCACAAGCGATTTTAATTAGACCCAAAATCTGCAGCTGAAGGAATAATTTCTCTGTGTCAATCAACCTTAAGTGTATCTATTAAATCGAGGAAGATTGGTTAAAATCATGAAAATTGCAAAGAAAGTCACTCTTCTGCTTCTCCAGAAGACAGAGATCTGCTGAATTCAGATGTTCCTGCATCTTTTCCTGCTCCGATTACCAGTCTGCTCAGCCGCAGCCTGAAGGTCCATCCAGACAATGAAGTCACACTTACTCACAGTCTGACAGTTGAGCACTGTTTAGGTGAAAAAAGTCCCCTTTAGTAAAATAAATGCTTCCACAATGAGTGCACCGACACAGACTCTACCAAAATAGTTTCCTCATCAATAGTTTAATTTACTGGCTTGTTCATTGCAAAACAATTGAGAATTGGTCCATGGAGAAGGAACCCAAAGGATGGACAGTACTGCCTGTATTTTGAGGCTGGACTACTTGCTGTGTAGTCAGCCCAAACTAAGGGAAATCAGACTCTCTACGACAGTGGCTGAGCTGCCTAGCTGCGTCTTTTCTAGAAAAGATAACGCCATCCCTATAGCTCTACTTTTATGCTGAACCTGAGATTTGGCCCTGTTTCTGCCAAGGGTGAAGAGCAAAGAAACTGGAGGGAAGGGAGCTGCAATATGACACAGCTGGGGCCGCTGAGACTGAGTAACAGCCTGATCCCTAGAGGGGTTGTAGTTGTTATCCCACAGAGCTGTCAATCATGTGAAACTGGCACAAAAAGTGCAACTAGCTTCCCCCGGCCCCAGCGGGACCCAGGGGGGAGGAAGAGCCGGGCGGGCTCGGGTGCCCTCGCAGCGTCGCTCTGCCCTTGGTTGCGATTTTTCTTATCTAATGCCACATTCTGCTTTCTTCCGTGAAAATCATTTCCAATTAAATGCATCCTCAGAGCCCATCTGGCTGTGAATTAGCCTGAAACTTGCTGGCTGGCTTGTTAGCTCATCAAAGTCTCTGGGATAACAGGGAGGCGCAGTCTCAAGAGCAACGAGCCGTTTGGGGATTTTGCTCATCTCCTTGAACTAACGGTGCCTGCCGCAGCCGTGCGAATTGGGACACGGATGCTCTTTGCTCACCTTCACCGGCTCTCTATTCCCCTCCACCCTGGCGCTGAGTAAGCAACGCCAGGGCTACAACACGCAGCCGTCCCGGCGCCCCGCACCTGCAG